ATTTAATTTTTATTCATAAAATATATTATTATAATTAATTATATGTATTATATAATTATATAATTATATAATTTGTTAAATATTTTAAATTTCAAAAAATGTTAAAAGATATGAATAATAAAAGGAATATTCTTTTTGGTGTAACATTTGGTGTAATGGGTTGGAGATGGAATAGTGATTTGGTGTAAAAACTACACCAACTTGGTGTAAAAACTACACCATTTTGAGTTTTATGGTTGGAGATGCTCTAAGGTTGGAGGTTCAAATTGAAAAGATGCCTCCAAACATGATGTTAACATTTACACGTTGCATGTCTTGTTGTGCGATGACTTGTCAGTGTTCTAAAACTTTGTACATGAATTATCTGATCAAAAGTTAAATATCGTACTTGCACACTGTGAGTTTTGCATGAGTTTGTACAGGACTCAAACAATCAATTTGTTCATATTGGAAGACCGAAAACAGCGGAATAAGTGCGACAAAACAAAATTTCACTGACGAAAAAACACTACAAAATTGTTTTCATCTACAGATGCAAGGGCTGTTGTGGAAAACAAAGTTAAGTTCAAGTGAGGTTTTGCAGGAATCACCACCAGAGTTCGATGGTGTTTGTTGAAAATTTTGCATCTAATTTCCAGTTCAAAAGTTCTGGAGGGGTTTCTTGACATACTTTGTTGTACGCAGCGGAAATTTCGGCAGAGTTTCTGGTGCACAATAAGAGAGAAAGATCGATAAGAATTCTTGTTTCTCAAAGGGAATTCTTGTTTCTCAAAGGGAACAAGAATTTGAAGCCTAATATCCCATCAAAGTGGGATATTTGCTCTTCCTCTCGTCAGCTTTAGGACTGCGCGTCGAGGGATCCTAAAACTATTACAATGGCCACAAACTCAAACAAACCAATTTTACGTGGTTCGGCAAACTGCCTACGTCCACGGGGCAAGGAGGGGGAGATCTACTATTAGAGAGGAGAATACAAATAGGGTTTACAATCTCTTAAATCTAAACCCTCAAACAATCTCTCAATCTCTCACAAAAGGGATACTAAAACCTAAAAGACGCTGCACAGAACTCCTCTTCAAAATAGCCAAAAAGCTATCTGCATTTCTCTCTCTGCTTTGCTTGCACGCCGCCCAAAAGTTTCTTTTCACCCTCTGCTCTTTACCCGCTGCAGCCGCCAAAAGCCAAATTTGCTGCAGCCGAAAAAACCTCCCCACTTTTGCACACAAACCGAAACCCTATGAGCCGAAATATATAGCTGCGGGAAGTGAACAATCGGGTGGGCCATCTCCACGCGGAATCACCGCATGAGCCCGCATGAGCCTACTACTTCACGTGGGTTTGGGCCCCTTGTGAACAATTCTCCACCTCGGTGAAGTTTTCTCAAAACTGAGCCGACACCAACCAAACCAAATGTCTCACTTGTTGTGTCCAGTACACTGTGAAATAATTCACGACAACAGACTCAATCCATAACAAGTCGAGAACCCAAATGAGAATGCGAACACTCTCCAAATGTCGATGTCTACTCACAAAATCGATCTCACCCCCCATCAACATCCAACCGGCTGCATCATAAAGACTGCCTACGTATCCTCTTGCCCAAGGAATCAAGCCTTACGTAGTTCACCCAAATGGCCGCTAACGACCTCAATCCAATAGAAGAGTTCACAACCCTTCTCCAATATCATCAACTCTGTGGCTGATAGCACATCCAATGGCCTCAAACACCTCCACCTGAGGTGAACCAATGCTCGTATCCACACTACGTCTACCAGCTGCATTCGAATCTATCAACTCATCATCTGCATCCAAAACCAAATGATCTCCAAGCCGTGTCACCTCAGCTGTAATCCTAAACAATGCAGTATGATCTGGAGTAATCTTCACCCAATGTGGAGTAGCATCAATCTCCACCCGCTGCGATACATCTAAGGTCTGTCCAAAACTCTCCACCTGCTGAGAGTCAATTAGCTTCCTCATTGAAGCCTCAAACAAAGTGACACTACCAGACCTATCTTCCAATGGAGTTTTACCTCCAATCGCAACAGTTGACAACTTTTTAATAGGATGGCCCAAATATGTCAAAGCCTCTGTCCAGAAACACTTCTGCAGACCATTGCTAGACCACAAACACCGATCCTCCTCCAGCAAGGCACGGTTCTCCAAATTTACCACCCTATCTAGTTGCCCCAAGATTTCCTTTCTAACGAAGTGTCTCGAAATGCCGTGAGCTCGGCTCCAATACAGAAATAGGTCCATCTTATACCTCCCATCAGAATAAAATACCTTCACCTTTCTGTCTATTATACACTTCTTCAATCTGTTGGATACTACTAGGACCTTCTCCAATGGGGATTTGGTTGCAACCCAAACACGCCTAGAACAGTCACCAACAAAGAAAACCAAACTTCTATTACCTCCCAATGATGCCCCCTTGGAAGGCCCCCAAACATCCACGTGAACTCCTCCAGAATGACCCTTAGCACGGTGAATAGAGGTGCCACACTTCACCTCGGTCTTCTTGCTCACATCAACATGCTCACTGGACTTCAAACTGCAGGTCTTTGCACCCTCTTTCAATCTATGCGAGGAATCAATACTGGAATGGTCAAGCCCCAAATGCCGCAGTCTAGTCAAATCAATAGAAGTCGCCAGCTCTCCACCTGCCACTATAGCTCCAGTCAAGTAATACAGGTTATTCCTTCTGACGCCCTTCATCACAATCCGAGAGTCTTCCACAATCTTGAGAACCATGTCCTCAATTCGAACATTCAGACCCTCTCCAACCAAAGCTCCAATCGAGATCAAGTTCTTCCTCAAAGAAGGAACATATCTCACATCGTTTAACTCTCTAACAGTCCCGTCAAACATTTTTATGCGAATTCTTCCTATCCCAAGGATCTGGCATGCACGGTTATCAGCCATGTACACCACACCACTATCCACCAGCTTCTCAAAACTGGAGAACCATTCCCTTCTAGGGCACACATGATAGGTCGCACCACTATCCAACATCCATTCAGATTCCTCCGAATAGCTATCTGTAGGACTGATAGAAAGCGAATAAATAGAAGAGTCAGAATTATTACCATCCGATACGATGTTTGCTTCTGATGATGGTTGCTTCCCTTTTCCCTTCTGCTTATTCTTCATCCATTCGTCGAGCTTTGGGCAGTCTTTCTTCCAATGACCAGTCTCCTTGCACCAAGCACACTGATCTTTTCCTACTCTAGACTGTGACTTCCAATTCTTTCGGTTTGGACCCTTCCCTCTTGCGGCCAACGCCTCTGCTACCGACTCAGTCGAAGTCTCTTTATCCTTCTTCCGAAGCTGATAATTCACCAATGCAGCAGTGATCTCACTATACGAAAGAGATGCCTTCCCATTAATCAGAGTAAGGACGAAGGTTTCATATTCCTTGTCGGGCAAAGAACTTAACAACAGCAACGCCTTGTCCTCATCCTCAATTATGACATCCACATTCGCCAAATCCGCAAGAAGCTTCGTGTAGTGGTTCATGTGATCTCTAATGGAGGTTCCCTTCTTTAATTGGAAACGATAAAGCCTCCTTTTCAAATGCAAGCGATTTTCCACACTCTTGGTCAAATACTTGCTTTCGAGAATCTCCCAAATCTTCTTCGCAGAAGTCTCATTCATCACATCATATTTTAGATCTTGAGTCAAACAAGACCTAATCACACCACACGCCGTTCGATTCATCTTCTTCCAAACCTTCTCTTCAATCTCATCTGGCTTGCCATCTAACTCCAATGTATCCTCCAAATTCTGCGCGTTCAGCGCATCCAAAACCTCGCATCTCCATAATCCAAAATTGTTTGTGCCATTAAACTTCTCCACATCTATCTTCATAGAGTGGATATTCAAACTCTGAATAGTCTTCACGCCCGCCAGAAGCACCACCCTCGACACCCGAAGCACCTTCTTTCCCCGACATCCTTTCTCAACGCACCAACGAACGAAGAATAGATCCAAAACTGAAAAGATAGAGTCTTTACCAAAAAGATCCCACCTTTATCACCAAACAAAACCCTAAACGAGCTTCCAAAGCGATCTACTCCTCCAAATAGCCTAAGCGTAGCCCGTGCTCTGATACCACTTGTTGTGCGCAGCGGAAATTTCGGCAGAGTTTCTGGTGCACAATAAGAGAGAAAAATCGATAAGAATTCTTGTTTCTCAAAGGGAATTCTTGTTTCTCAAAGGGAACAAGAATTTGAAGCCTAATATCCCATCAAAGTGGGATATTTTCTCTTCCTCTCGTCAGCTCTAGGACTGCGCGTCGAGGGATCCTAAAACTATTACAATGGCCACAAACTCAAACAAACCAATTTTACGTGGTTCGGCAAACTGCCTACGTTCACGGGGCAAGGAGGGAGAGATCTACTATTAGAGAGGAGAATACAAATAGGGTTTACAATCTCTCAAATCTAAACCCTCAAACAATCTCTCAATCTCTCACAAAAGAGATACTAAAACCTAAAAGACGCTGCACATAACTCCTCTTCAAAACAGCCAAAAAGCTATCTGCTTTTCTCTCTCTGCTTTGCTTGCACGCCGCCCAAAAGTTTCTTTTCACCCTCTGCTCTTTACCCGCTGCAGCCGCCAAAAGCCAAATTTGCTGCAGCCGAAAAAACCTCCCCACTTTTGCACACAAACCGAAACCCTATGAGCCGAAATATATAGCTGTGGGAAGTGAACAATCGGGTGGGCCATCTCCACGCGGAATCACCGCATGAGCCCGCATGAGCCTACTACTTCACGTGGGTTTGGGCCCCTTGTGAACAACTTCAAGGTGTTTTCAACAAAATTTTCCCTAGTACCTACATGTACTCCCACTTTGTGTAGATTTCTGTTTGAAAAGTACAATCTGGATGTTTACTGAGAACCACATAATAGTATGAAGAAACTGCTTACACTAACAGAGGAGGTATCTTCAGCCTTCACATTTTGAAAGTGATCGACAGATTCAAAATAGATGAGAAAAAAAAATCATACACGCTGTCTATTTCATGCATCTCACATTTTTCAGATGAACTAACGTAACATCGGCACAAGAAAGCTAGATTCTATAATTGATTATGAAATTAAAATTAGAATACAGAGGGACAAAGGGATGAGAATAAACTAGAAATTTACGGGGTAAATTTATCTGACCATGCACGCAAAATGCGAATAAACATACACATGCACATATACCCCTCTGGTGGCAAACAGAAGCCTGCATTATGTGCTGCGTCGATGGAGGGAGTATGCAGAGATCGATACGAGCACGATGAGCGCAACTGACGCAACGAGAGAAAAAGCTATGGAGATCCCAACATGTCTACAAAATTTTCCATAAAAATTGCATATTTGAAGCCAACCAACATGGGAGTTCCCTTTCAATCCGATGTATGCAATCGATGCTCCTGCTCCTGTTGCTGATGCCACAACTCCCACCATCAACTGTGCAAAAGTGATGAAGGACTATAAATATGGACACCTCCTCTTACTGGTTGACGATTTTTTACCGGGACTAGGATTTTTATCGGTTTATGACTAGGATTTGGATTTTAACTTTAAGGTGTTACTGATTTAGGACTTGAGACTTGGATTTAATTACATGGTGTTATTGATTATTTAGGATTATGATTAGGGCTTGATTTCAATATCACCCCCCATCCTAATCTATATGTTCTAGCTAGTGAGAAAATTTCAAATGTAAGTCCGAGTGAAAATTAGTGGATTGTGATCTCCCTCCTTAGATTTTCTTTTCCTCTTCCTTTGATGAGTCCATATTAACAAAAAAAAAAAACAGACTAATTAATGTTTACAAAACATTTATAGTTAGTATTAGATATTAATATTAAACAGTTAGCATTAAATATTAATATTTAATATTACCTAGTTAGTTAATAAAATATTAAGTTTTAACTATTTTTAATTAAATATTTAAATATATATTAGTTTTAACTATTTTTAACTATATATTTAAATATATCTCATACATGAAACAAAATCGATTTAATAATTAATATTAAATGTAAAAATATTTTTTTATTTAAATATTAGATAATAAATATAGTAAATATGTATATATTAAATGTAAGTAATATTTAAAATTAACTAAGAAAATATTAAATATTAAATGGTTTAATTATTTAACATATTTAATTTTAAATACTTTTTAATCAGATTCTTTAATATTTATATTACTTAATCATTTGTAGCTTCAATATTTAATATTATACATTTATTGATAGTCTAATATATATTTTATATTAAATATATTAATTATTTATCATATTAAAAATAATTTAAATATCAAATATATACTTAATATTCATCTCAATTTATATATTTAATATTTATTTACGTATTAGATAAGAAATATAGCAAATAAGGACTATTAAGTATAATTAATATTCCATAAATTAAATAATAAAAATATTAAATGTTCAATAATTTTACATTTATAGTGAATGTTTGACAAAATTTCTTATTATATCTAAATGTTTACATATTTATATATACAAATTAATAGTAAAAATTTGATCTTAACTTTTAATTATAGAAAGTTACAATAAAATTTATTAATAATTGTAGAAAAATATAATTGAATAATAGTTATATTCTTGGTACTTACTGTGTCAGACTACAGTGGGTCTATTCGCAATTAATCCTGGTACTTACTGTGTCAAAAAGTGACAAAATAAACAGTAGCTCGGTGGCTGGAGAGGGTTTAGATACGCAAAGAAACGAAGCAAGGGTAGTAAATACACCGTACAAGCAAGCCACAGAATTAGCCACCACAAAGTATCTGCATATTAACAAACGTCGTCAACCTCAAACTGAATTATTCTCAAAACTAAAGAAAATTCTTAAAAAAAAATTCCTCGGAGAAAATGACGTAGTTATATATACAAGCTTACATGAGGGCGGGAGAGTAGTTGAATCTGGCGTCAATGCTGATCAGACCTCCAAACGTTTTGGTTTCTTGGCTTGAAACCATCACCGCCACCGCCACGGCCGCCGTCGTAGTCAGCAAGACTCTCGGTAAGAGGTCAACCTTAAAAAGGTTGATCGGGCTAACGGGTTTGGGTTTGGGTTCGCAATGTTTGGGCTCACCAGAAGCCATGATGAGCTTAAAGCCTGAGTTTTGTGAGAACTAAGGAGGTGGTTTTAGAATAATACGAGATCAGGGGAGAGAATATTGTTGGGTATATATAATGTTTTTGTGTGGAGGTAGATGAATGATTGTGCAAAATGTGGACACATTTGGATGACGTGCATTAGGTGCTACGGTGTCTATATGTTATCTTAACTTTATAGACACAAATTATTTGTGGTCTGTGCTATCGGTCCGTCGGTTCGGTTTTTGACCAGTCGGTTCGGTTTTTGGTCAAATTTGGCCAAACCGAACCGAACTGATTATCATTCAAAACCGAAGCAGTTCCAATCGGTTTGGGTCAATTTGTTCGGTTTTTACTTAGGTACAAATGTTATGTTCAAATTCAATTTCACCTCTAATCTGTTGACCAAGAAAGAAGTCTCTTACACTTTAATTTATTAAAATTCATAAACTATTAAATGCTATTGAATATTAAATGCAGAAATCAAAATCTTATTCCTACCAAAGAATACATAATTTTTTTGTAGAAAACTTACGTAAAGAATTAAAATGGTCTCAATCTGATAGACAAAGTAAATAAAAAAAATATGTAATAACTTAGATGTTGGGTATAGTTTCTATAAAATTATAAGTCCAATTCAAATAGAAGTCAGGTCCAAAAATGTATCAATCAAGGATAAAAATCAAGAAAAAGTTAGAATTAACATTATGGTTTAAGTTTCTTACCTCCAAAGTGGATTGGTCCGAAGTAGAAGAAGCGAATATGTAATGGAGAGGGATAGAGAACTAGAGATAATGAAAATCCCTAGAATTGAAGAGGACACTATTGTTTGGGTATTTTATCGGTATCAGGTCGCGTGAGAGAAAAATATATCAAGCTGCAGAGAAGTAACTCTTTATGAACTACAACGAGTCGGGTTTAAGCGGATGTAAATAGTAATTAGAATGAGTAATACAATTCGGTCAGGTTTAAACGGATGTAAATAGTAATTAGAATGAGTGATTATATGAACTTTAACTGGTCAGGTTTAAGCCTGCAGGCGGTTTGTAGGAGTTGGCGGTCCAGAAGGAGGCATCTCACTCACAATTCACGAGAAGGAGAGTTCTCGTGAATTGAAAAATCAATAGATTTTGGACTTTTTGAAACGGCTCTTCATACAAACTGATTAGGTTTGGCCCATTTTGGTGTTAATTTATATATTTTGAGGCGCTTGAAGTCGATGAATCTAATGTTACAGGCTTAATTATAAAATAGACATATAAAAGACATATCCCGTAACTTTTATGGGGTCATGGGTGCAATTGCCCAACTGCCACGTGCTAAATCCGCCAATGGTCCCAACGTTATTTAATCTATGACTTTAAAATAGATAAAAGTGACAATACTTAATTTTTTTTAAGAAGAAAGTTATTGTCTGAGTTAGCTATTATTGGTCAGCCGAAGAGAAAAAAAAATGAGAGCAATAAGTATGAACTAACTCTGGTCAGCTAAGTTGGTATTTTTGTTTGATGTGTTTATTGCCTTCTAATGTGCAGGGCAAGCATACGCTGAATGTGGCCTGTGGAGGTTCCTACACTAGAAAGAAAATTATGACAATTCTAAACATTAATAGCCAATTAATTAGAAATACTTTGCTCTTGTTGGAATCTAAAAGATATTTTGTTGATATCTAAAAGACAAAATGTATGTGGACATTACTTTGTATGTGGACTAGTAATTTCATGTCCTTTTGTATTCCATCATGTATTTATAAATTGTACGATGTATGGAAATGTAAGTGGCGAATAAAAAAGATTACAATTTCTCTTCTTCTCTTGTCTTTTGTCTCTTGTTTCATTTCTTTAGCACGAGTGGCTCTAGCCGGTTCGTGATCATCGGTTCATAGCAATAGATTTTTAGGTGTACATCTTCTGCAAGGTAATAATACATTCGGCCTTTGTCTATTTACATAGGTACATCTTCTGCAAGGTAATAATACATTCGGCCTTTGTCTATTTACATAGTATCAAACTTTACGTCGAATGATTATGATTATGTCCAGTATGATATGACGGCCTTTGTCTATTTACATAGTATCAAACTTTACGTCGAATGATTATGATTATGTCCAGTATGATATGAATTCTTTGGTTTGTTTTTATGAGAATCATGTGATAATGATATATTTGCTGAGTTTTTATAAACATACAAGCATGCATGATGCATAAGCCATATTCATACTGATCAATTGAGCATTTTGAGACCATCATGGATCATGTAATAAACTCTAGTACTCTATCCATTGCTTCTTTATGTGAACATACAATGTGCAGAAATATCAATTTTCTAACTGTATTTGCATATAAACTCAAATCCTATGTGGCTGGCCTTCTTGATTACATGTATAATTAGAAATTTTGTTTGTGGCATTTGCTAGATCACGTCTCTCCATGGTCCATTAAATAAAACTTGTACACTATTCAACATTTCCATTACATCATTGCTAGCATTATGGTAAAGTTTGTCACTTGGTTACATAGAGGATTGATCTGTCACATTTGAACTATGAGAATGTTTTAAACTCAAAATTTATCAAGTGATCATGGCTATTTTTTTCGTTGGAACAGAAGGAAAAAAAAAACTTCTAGGCCTGAGCATTGTCATCAATTCACTTTTATTGTTACTTTATACAATGAAGTAGATGCTTCTGGCTCAAGTTCATATGCACATACTTAAGCGTCAAGACCTAATGTGAATCCATAGCCAATAGCCTTAAAAGTTCCAATAATATTTTTTTTATAGCATCAAAGACTAGAACATCCTAATACCAAAAAAAAAAAAAATGAAAATTCAAATGATGGATAATTCTAACCATATGATATATGAGTAAGATGTTATTTGTAGTACTTAAATTTTTATTTTATCTCCCGAGAGTATGAGAACCGTTCTACCTCCTATTTGTATATACATGCATATATGAGCTTTTGTATGTCTACAAAGTGTTCTATTTTTGTACAGTGGTAAGCAAATGAGTGTTTCACCACTAATCTTGTACTATAGAGTTTTTGATTGAATTTCTATATGACTAATGAGTTTAAGTTCAACAATCAAAGATGATTTAGACCCTTGTTAGCTGTTAGCTTGCTTATAGACTAGTGCTATTGCATTAAATGTGATGTTGAATTTTCCAAATGCTATCAATGCAAGCAACAGTTAAAGGATGTCAAATCTTTTATAAGTTTGAGATATAGTCTCTCTTCTGGATATGCAAATATTTCTAATTTCTCATGCACTAATCTTTCGTCCCCATGATTAGTGCACTGTGATATATGATAGTAATCTCATGCACTAATCTTTCGTCCCCATGATTAGTGCACTGTGATATATGATAGTAATTATTACTTGTTTTTCGCCTCGAACGTTCATTTTTGATAGTAATTATTACTTGTTTTTCGCCTCGAACGTTCATTTTTACTGACACCCTTGTGATTTTTGCACAATTATATCTCTTGATTCTTTAAGAACTTTGTCCAGAAGACAAACATTTTAAATTTTCTCTCTATCAATTAAGACATGAAAAATTAATACCTCACTAAAACAATATTCACTTTTCTGGGCAATCCCTGAAGGATCGCTTTAATCTATGAAAACCAATATTCTTCCCTCAAACGCAACTGGCAGATTGAATCAGAACTTTTTGGATTTTAAATACATGACTAAATATGATTCAACTCTGTACCAAATTATCTAGCAGCTAAAACTCTGTAAGCAGAACATTACAGACAGTGATATAATTGATCGAAAAATTCTTTTCCCTATTCCACACAAATAATATTGTACTCCAGCAGCAGTACATGACCAAGAATTGCACTTAGCATTCTGAATTGATTAGTAGTCACAGAGAAGCACAATCAATTAATGATTAGAAATCATAATGTCAGACTAGTTGGCTTACGAGTTGTGTTTGTAGCACATGCTACAATTCAGAAAACTACTTATACGCGTGGATAAGGGGGAGGCTATGAACATAGTAGGAGATCTTATCATGTATCCATTTTTGGATTTTAAACCTTCGACTGAATACAATTCAACAAGTAACCTTGTACTCTTACAATAGTACAACTAAAAGCATTATGAACTAATCCTTGCATTAGTAGTTGTTAAAAACACAACCAGCTGTTGTGAGAAACCATAATGCAAGTTTAATTGGTTCAGTCGTAGTGCTTGAAGCACATGTCATAATTCAAATTAATATTCATAAGCTCGAACGAGGGGGAGTTAGTAGATCTTATTGAGGTGGTCAAGGTAAACTATTTGGTTTTTCTATATTTGGATTCTATGCATTTGTCAGACAATTTTAATTTATCTTGATTTTGCTTTAAACTCTTGTGAACCTATGTGGTTTTTATTCATATGTGTATATTTTAGAATTTGTCTGGCCTAAAATACAACATGTTGCAATGAGTTTGAGATTTTGGGACCCAAATTCTTTTAAATTCTGACATGAGCAATTGGGTCATTTTGGGCAAAATATGATTTGTCGGATTTCCTTAAATGAAATGGGGCATTCAAACCAAATCCGACCAACTGCATATCATAATTTTTTCCCTTCATCTAATACGTGGTGAAGAAGCGAAACATTTTCTATTTGCGTATTATTTATTTGCAGTCCATGTTTCTATATCACCACCACAGCGTACCTCTATGGGACCTCGGTGAAGGTACATATATTATTTATGAAACCCCGTCAATAATTTAGTACCTATGGTCCATGTTAGGGGATCAATTTACAATTTAGTACGCTGACTGTATTTTTATTGAAGATCAATTCTCGACATTAGGGGGAGATTAGTGCCCAAAATACAAAATAATGTTAAGAAATTCCCTGTATACTGTTTTCGCCAAAAGTTGGTTTCGTTGTCGAATTCATTATATCTTCGGTCGATTACAATAAATTCAAAGAAAACAGCCTTTTTATAAGACTCTTTTACACAACAAAAAGAAAATTACAACTCTTGAGAAAATAAACGCAGGATCGTTGTTTGGATCAC